AAATTGACAATCTTGGCGCAAACCCCGCCCTCTGTGCCCTGATCCTGCCACCCACCATTAGTGTTCCCACCCTGCCTCGGGTACTCTTATCGAACTCAAATTTAATTTCTAGGTCCACTGAGAGAGGAAATATTATTTTCCACTCGAACATTCATTTCGCGCTCAGTCCGCCCACTGTGTGCGGGGTCCGGTCCTCCCACCTACCATAGTGTTCCCATGCTGCCTTGGGAACTCCTACTCCTACCAAATTTGAACTTTCTGAGTTCACAGAGACAGAAGTTATGATTTTCCGCTAAAACGTTTTGTTCTCACAAAACCCGCTCCCTGTGGGCGGGGTCTGGTCCTGCCACCCAACATATGTGTTCACATCCTGCCACCTGTGCTCCTACTAAATTTGAACGTCCTAGGTCCACGGGGACAGGAGTTATTAATTTCCGTACAAACAGACAGAGGGACAGACGGATGGACGGACGGACGGACAGACGCGAGCACTTTATATAAAGTATGGACTACTTGCTATTGGATTACGACCGCTTCCCGGCAAAGTTTGTGACTCAATGATTTGAAGTGACTCAACCGAATATACCTCAATTCGTCATTATTTTCAAGAAGAACAGCAATAGATCGATACTTCTGATCAAAGGCATAAGCATCAGCACATTTCGAGTACCACTCGCATGTCCGATTAGTCCTCTGTCAAATTTCAATGTCCGAGGAAAGGATACCAGGTCGCAGTGGCCAGTTAAGATGAGATGTATACCGATGTAGGTAGTTTCGAACGCTGATTTCAAATCTGGGTTCCAAATCAGCGAGACGAGCGAACAAAGTTATGGGCCCCCTTTCCCCAGGCAGCATGCCACTTTTTTTGCTTTTCATACGAAAACCAAGCACTACCAAACGTACAGCGATGGCGCAGTTGGGAGGACGACGAACAGGTAAGCATGACACGGAGGTCCAAATCCTTGATGAATGTGCTTGTTTCTCTTTTTAATAGAAGAAGTCTTAAACGCTTGCAAAACCCTTTCACGCATCATATAGACCATTTACCATTTGCGGAGCAGCAGTTAAATGTTAATACAGGTAAATTTTTTCGTCAGCTCCATAGACCGAAAAGCGAGCGGTGCGCATAGAACCCTTCCGCTCCCGGCACTTAGGGTCACAATACAACCCACATGATGAGCAAGGAACTTATGCTTGGTTAGATTAGAATGTGCGCTGCATCAACAGAATTGCGTTCAATATTACTGGTCGTCGACTCATGGAGCTCGTTCAAGAACCACAAAGCGATTCAGGGTGCTTTGCCAACTGGCAAGGAAGTGAAAACGCTCATCATTTTACCTGACACGACTTCTCAAATTGAGCCTCTCGATGTATTTTTTCACTGCTCAAAGTCATGTACAAGAGTACTGTCTCTTTCGTAATTGTTTATGACCTAAACTTCCACGTTAGCAACCGCAACTCCATAATTCGCCCTTTCTCACTAGAATACTTCTTGTTTAGCGAAACTAGATTCAAAAAGTTTCTTTCTTACTCATAGTATGCATGGGTACCTGGATAGGGACCTGGGAAAATGGGAAACTCCTGCAGGATATTGTTTCCATCTCAATCAGACCTGAACTGTAAGAGTTACGGGTGTGGTGAAGTTTCTATCATGCTTTGCTCACATTGTGACAGCTGAAATGTACTAGCTCACTTCTACCCATAGAAGGGCACTAATTCATCCAGAAGCGCTATACCCTTACGAGCCATCCAAAAGCACACTTTTGAAAGTGCATGGAGCTGCTAATTTCTTGACCACATTTTGAGTGCCCGGAGCAGAAGGATCCTATGTACCCTGCTCCCTATTCGGAGCTGTAAACGGATATATTTACGATGCGTAAAAGGGTTTTGCGAGCGTTTCGGACACTTTTTGTTAAAAAGCAGAACAAGCGCATTCATTGAAGATTTAAACCTTCCTGTCACGCTTACCATTCCGTCGTTCTCTCAACTGCGCCATCGCCACTTTTGATATTGGGTGGTTCTCGTAATCATTGTAGCTCCCCATTCCGACCTTTCGCTGGGCGTCAACCGCGGACTTCTGTGGGAGAACAAATCAGATTCTCTTTCAACTCGTCTTCTTGGTGAAGGATCCATGAGCATTGAGCTTGATTTAAAGAGCTATCACTCCTGAAAGGAATCATCCATGTACCAGATTACCTTTATAATGACTAGATGAAAAGTTTGGGCGATACCCGTTCCCAACATAGGATCCCCTAACTCCGCGTTCTGCTATGAAGGGCTCGTACGACACGATCAAGAAGAACATCGCTGAAGTCGAGGTGACTGCAGAAGATACTGGTCGTGAGGAGAGAAGGAAATGGATATGACCAACCAGAGCAGTGGACACAAACCCTCCAAACCCGCGAAATCATCGCTAGGTTAAGAAACGGTGAAATCATCGAAATTAGATGCGCCTTCACTCAGTTTTGAAGGAAAGGGTTTTGAAGGAAATTTCAAAAGGTCCCGGTCGAAATAAAACAACAGTCAAACCATCATTGTCCAAATCATTCAAAGAACTGTATGGACCGTGCAATGTCCATACAATGTTCGAAGACCAGATGATATGATATCGAGTTTTTTGACTATCAAAATGATATCAATTTACCAACATTTTGCCAACTGAATGAACTCTCGATGTGAGGGATGCAAAAACAGCCGAACTGATGAAAAAACTACGTGATGAAGTTGAAGTGGGG